ACATGGAAACTGAACAACCTACTTCTGAATGACTTCTTCACTACTGAAGAAATTAAGGCTGAAATAAACAAATTTATGGAAACAAATGATAATGAGGACACAAGTGTCCAGAACCTATGGGACACAGCAAAAGCAGTCATAAGAGGGAAATTCATAGCAATTAGTGCACATAAGAAAAGGATGGAAAGATGGCAAGTAGATAACTTATCATCATGCCTCAGAGAACTGGAAAAACAACAACAAACGAACCCCCAAAATGCCAGGCGAAAAGAAATAATAAAGGTTCGAGCAGAAATAAATGAAATAGAAAATAAACGAACCATACAGAAAATAAATGAAAGCAAAAGCTGGTTCTTTGAAAAGATCAACAAGATCGATACTCCATTGGCTAGACTGATCAAGAAGAAGAAAGAAAGAAACCAGATTAATCAAATATGTGATGAAACAGGCAATATTACCACGGACATAGCAGAAATACATAATATCATTAGAGGATACTATGAGCGACTTTACGCCAACAAACAAGATAACCTGGAGGAGATGGACAAATTCCTGGATGCATATAAACTACCAAGATTGGATCAGGAAGACATAGAGAATCTGAATAGACCTATAACAAGCCAGGAGATTGAATCAGTAATTAATAATCTCCCAACAAAGAAAAGCCCAGGCCCAGATGGCTTCACTTGTGAATTCTACAAAACTTTCAAGGAAGAATTAACCCCTATCTTACTAAAATTATTTCTAAAGATTCAAAAGGAAGGAAACCTTCCAAATTCATTTTATGAAGCCTCCATCATCCTCATCCCCAAAACAGATAAGGATATGACAAAAAAGGAAAACTACAGACCAATATCATTGATGAATATAGATGCGAAAATTCTCAACAAGATACTCGCAAATCGTATCCAACAACATATAACAAAGATCATTCATCACGACCAGGTAGGCTTTATACCAGGGATGCAAGGGTGGTTCAATATACGCAAGACCATAAATGTAATACACCACATTAACAGAAAGAAAGATAAAAACCATATGATCATCTCAATTGATGCGGAGAAAGCGTTTGATAAAATACAACATCCTTTTATGATTAAGACTCTCAGTAAGATTGGTATAGAAGGGTCATTTCTGAACACAATAAAAGCAATCTATGAAAAACCTACAGCTAATATTATACTGAATGGGGAAAAGCTGAAAGCTTTTCCTCTGAAAACAGGTACTAGGCAAGGCTGCCCACTTTCTCCACTGCTCTTTAATATAGTACTGGAAGTCTTAGCTATTGCAATCAGAGAAGAGAACAGTATTAAAGGCATTCGAATAGGCAAAGAAGAGTTGAAAATATCTTTATTTGCAGATGACATGATGGTATACTTAGAAGACCCAAAGGTATCCATGAAAAAACTGCTTGAAGTAATAAGTGAATACAGTAAGGTGGCAGGATACAAAATCAATATCCAAAAATCTATAGCATTTCTATTTATGAACAACAAGTTGAATGAAGCAGAGCTGAAGAAAGGAATCCCTTTCACCATAGCCACAAGATGTATAAGATATCTAGGGATAAACCTAACTAAGAAAGTCAAAGACCTTTATAAAGAAAACTACGAGAATCTTAAAAAAGACATTGAAAGTGACATAAAAAAGTGGAAGGACATCCCATGCTCCTGGATTGGTAGAATTAACATAATCAAAATGGCAATTCTACCCAAATTAATCTACATGTTTAATGCAATTCCAATCAAAATACCAGAGATATTCTTCAGAGATCTAGAAAAGACAATTATAGAATTTGTCTGGAACCATAAAAGACCTCGTATTGCAAAAGCAATCCTGCGTAAGAAGAATGGAGTAGGAGGCATATCACTCCCTGATCCCAAGATATACTATAAAGCTGTGGTCATCAAAACAGCATGGTATTGGCATAAAAACAGACATGTGGACCAATGGAAGAGAATAGAGACCCCAGAAATAACTCCCAAAGCTTATAGCCAACTGATCTTTGACAAAGGATATCAGTCAATCCATTGGGAAAAGGAAAACCTCTTTAGTAAATGGTGCTGGAAAAACTGGGTATCCACCTGCAGAAAGATGAAACTGAACCCCCATCTTTCACCATTAACAACAGTCAACTCAAAATGGATCAAAGATCTGAACCTAAGACCTCAGACAATAAAACTACTTGTGGAAAATGCTGGGGAAACTCTGGGAGACATTGGAGTAGGCAAAGACTTCTTAAATAAGACTCCCAAAGCACAGGCAATAATCCCTAAAATAGACAAGTGGGACTATATTAGACTAAGAAGTTTCTGCACAGCAAAGGACACAGTAACAAGTGTGAACCGACAACCCTCAGAATGGGAAAATATTTTTGTTAAATATGCCTCAGACAAGGGACTGATAACGAGAATACATAGGGAACTCAAGTGCCTTATGCGAAAAAAAATGATTAACCCGATTAAAAGATGGGAAAGTGAGCTGAACAAAAGTCTCTCTAAGGAAGACATACGAACAGCCAAAAAGCATATGAGGAAATGCTCGACATCCCTCATCATAAGGGAAATGCAGATAAAAACCACAATGAGATACCACCTAACCCCTGTCAGAATGGCAAAGATTAAGAATATAAAAAGTGATAAGTGTTGGCGGGGATGTGGTGAAAAGGGAACCCTCCTACACTGTTGGTGGGAATGTAAACTAGTTCAACCACTGTGGAGAACAATATGGAGGTTCCTCAAAGATCTACAAATAGAACTACCATTTGATCCAGCAATCCCACTTCTGGGTATTTACCCAAAAGACAGGAGAACGCTCAGTCAGAAAAGTGCTTGCACATCCATGTTTATTGCAGCATTATTCACAATTGCCAAGACATGGAACCAACCTAAATGTCCACAAACTGATGAATGGATTGGAAAAGTGTGGTATATATACTCTATGGAATACTACTCAGCCATAAAAAATAACAAGACCCTGGAATTTGATAGAAAATGGTCAGATATGGAGGATCTATTGCTGAGTGAAGTAAGCCAGGCTATGAAAGAAAGATATTGTATGTATCCACTCAATATATACCGACTATCCGCACTCTATAATAGAGAGCAAAAATTCGGAGGACATAAACACAGTGAAGGTACTTAATGAGAATAGGACAGTGTGGAATGGGGTAAGTGAAGAGAAGAGGATAGAGAAAGATAGCAAGTGAACAATAGAATAAAAAAAAAATATATATATATCAAGGACCACAAGTAAACATGAAAAACAGAGAAGATCCCTAACAGGACCTCACTATAGAATGTTCCTTTTCTTCCACTTCTCCATCCGTTCAGGATCCTGGGCACACACACTTACCCAGCATATTTTTCAAGCCTATAGGGCCAGGACACCAACCATAGTTGGCCATATGGAATCCAGCTTCCAGCCAAAATATAGCACTATGGAACCAGCCCATAATTATAACTTTTACATTTTTTCTTTTAATTGCTAGAAGGCATGTGCTCTCATCAGAGAGAGATGAGAAACAGAGAGAGAGAGGGAGAGGGAAAAAAAGCATCCCCCAATGGATCGCAGTCACACAGCAATGCCATTTCCTCTATTTCTCCATCATATTGGGATTCTGGGCACACATGCTATGAAAAAGTTAAATCTGTATCTCTAATAAAAGGCAAAGACCAAAATCAGCTAATATTCTCAGCAAATAAGGAAACAAATGGTCACATTTATGGAAGTTTTGGTTTAGCTCCTATTACCAAAGCTGCTTGTTTAATTGTCAAGTGTGCTCTGGGTATTATGTCCTGAGTTACTAGATGATTGTAACTGGTTTCTGCAGGAATATTTATATCTCACAGATTGTTCAAGTCACACCAAAGTCAACTGATTTCGTGAGGCAATACCACTGTTTAAGAGAGGGAGGTTTTTTGTTTGTTTGTTTGTTTTAACAACTGCTTTGGAGATAGAAACATATCTCAAACTCAGTGAATTCATTTACTAACCAATCTTATGGGTAGGGATAATCACCAGAGTTAGTTTTTGCAAACATACCTTTACCTATTTGATATCAACTGCTGAGTATATTTTCTGTTACTATTGTAATTACAGTCTATGCTCCTACTCCTTCATTAGATGCAGTATAAGATGTATTTCTACAGAACTTATACAGCAAAGCCTTTGCTTTCTTCTAGTATTATAACTTGCATCCTAATTGCCCACTTCCAATTAATACTAATATTTACTACTATTTCCAAGAGTTACAGTTTAAGAAAAGAGCCCACATTCTCAAAGGTCATTTACATAGTGCAATTCAGAATCAGTCTCTCATTTAGGCTATGAAAGAAACTTGTTTAAAAAAATCACAGCATTTTAAAATATTTATTAAGGTACCAGCAGATGGTGTAATGGTTACATTGTTGGACTCCCATGTAGTTGACCGAGGTTCGAGTTCCAGACCTGGTGGCTTAAAACTCAGGCCAGGCTTGTGTATGTGCATGCCCCAAATCCTGAGAGGATAATGGAGGAGAAGGGATTGTGGTGTGACTATCCCCCCGAAGGTGATTTCTCACGTTCTGTCTCTCTGTCTCTGTCTCTCTGGGGAGCGCACACATGGCCTATAGCAAAAAAACTCTAAAAAATTTATTCAAATTTTTTAGTTAATTAATAATTAATATTATTTTTTCAGCTAGGTAAACTTATAATATTATGATAAAGACAGATCAGGGTCACTTAAGTACCAATGCATTCATTCTATAAAATTTCAGTAGACTATTTCCCATATATTCGTAAAGCTGAAGATCATACATTTAGGTCCCCATTATACCTTAAGTTGGCCAACAATTTTTTTTTTTTTCTGACACTTCACTGGTATAAAATATCTGTCAATTCCTGTTAAAGAACTATAACATGAAATCAATATAGTCAATAAGGTAGATGAAATACCAACAGAAGAAGTTATTTAAAAATAAAAGCAAGAGTCCTTGAAATGCTTAAGATTTATTACTCACCAAAAACAAAGTTCGGAAGTTGCTGAGATCACCAAAAAACTCTTCGATGCTCACAGTCTTAGAGTCAAAAATGAAGTATTCTCCAAGACTCTCATAGAGTTTTAGCATGTTGTTGTACATGGTGTACAGTTTTTCATATTGGTCTCTGGCAGTCTTTGTAAAGCTGTAGCTTTGTGTTAAGGAACATGATCCAATAGTACCTCAAAGGCAATCACTAGATGTTAAAATTAAATCAAATGGTCACTTCTGTAAATACATCTGTAACACATAAATACTTCTGTATTAGTTTGCTAGGGCTTCCATGCTCAAATATCGCAGACTTGGTAGCTTAAACAACAGAAATTTATTTTCTCACAATTCTAGACACTAGGTCACTCATTCTTTATCAAGCATAAAAATATACAGTTTGTATAATTTAGAAATACAAAGACATAAAGAAGTCATCCAAAATTTCCAATGTAAAAGCAAGTGTTATGAGCATTTTCTAACATTTCCTTCTGGTCTTTTTCTGAAGCTAATAAATTCTTGTTTTTAACTGATAGGAATGTTTCAAAGAAAGGGAAGTGAACTAAGCATAAAGGAAGTAAAATCAACATTTAAAATTAGAATTAAATTCATTAAAAATCATAATTATCATAGAGGTAAAATTTCTTTAGATGAAAAAGTAATAGAATTGGAATTGTAAAAGAAGGAAAATGACAGTTTGGGGCCTACTATTTTAAGATCCACCACAGTGTATTAATATTTGGTGATAGTATCATTTTATCAGTACTGATAATTGAGCCTTGAAATACTTGATTTCATAAGGTTTACTGAACTTTTCAGTGTGTTTTATTATAACCTGGGGCCAAATTTATTTTCCATGGGAACACAGCTATAGCTTTACGATGGAAGTCAATGGGGAAATCAGACCATTTCTAGAAAATTACTTTGCAGGTGACACTTACAGGATACATTACTATTTTAAAAGCGAGATGCCCCCATCTCTGTTCTTTTTTATGCTACTTATTACTTTATATTAGCAACATAACAGTCCCTTCCCTGCAACAAGGGGAGGAAATCTTTTAACCTTCAAGTTCATTTCGATGTCAATAGATCTGGACGAATTAATACATTTCAGATAGACTTCTCTTTCTTTTTACCAACAAAAATGTGCATAATGCTTCATATACATTGATTTTACCTTTGATGCTATCACCATATATTTTTGGTTTTTAAGAAAATGTTAAACATCCCAAACCTTATGTATAATAGCAATAAGACAATATCCTTTCTTAGCATAGAATGAAATAGAGATTTTTGTCTTCTAGCCTCTCTTCCCTAAATAAAACACTCATACCAGGGACTTGCTAGGCATGAACACTCTGCAAAGAGCACTTACTTGTAATTTATTTGCAATGCAAATTACTAAACTGTTTGTATATTTCAGAAAGCTCAACATCTGTACAACACAGAGAAAAAGCCAAAGCTAACAAAAAAGCAAAGTTTGTTTTCTGCATTTATGGTAATACCGTTTTTCACTAGATAAAACATGTCCATGTAGTCATACACAATTTCATAAATTTGTTCTTATAGAACAAAAACTGATTTCAGAAATTCTGTCTGCAAACCAAAGCAATAAAATTTGAAAAAGTCTGGGAATGTTTTATCTTCAAAGTAACAAAAGAAAAGCAACCCAATCTCCTAAGTTCTTCACTTATCTTCAAAGTGATTACTTTGTAAAAGGGATAGATGGCATAAGTCAGCACTGAAATCTTTCACAATTGCAACCACATCATCAAATCCTACGTGGACTGCAGGTAAAAAGGAACTAAACAGTATTCTGTTTTATCCTTTTATTTCATTTAGGAAATTTTTACTTTATTTTTTGAAAACCCACTGAATACAAGATACTGGCTGGTACTATGCTAAGCATAGAGATTGCTACAATGATCATTAAAGAATTCATCTCTATCCTAAAGAAGTTAAAAACCTCAGGACCAGGAGTTGGCATAATGGATATGTCACTGGACTCCCATGTAGTTGCCTGTGGTTCAAGTCCTGAACCCGGTGGCTTAAACTTACGTGGGGCGCATGTGCATGCATGGCCAAGATCCTGAGAGGAGAATGGAGGAGAAGGGATTGTGGTGTGGCCACCCTCACTGGAGAATTATTTCTTGCTTTCTTTCGCTCTGTTTCTCTCTGTCTTTCTGGCAAGCACACATGCCCTATAGCAAAAACCTCTCAAAAAAAAAAAAGGTTAAAAATCTCATATTACAAATAATTCTCCCACCATAAATTTGCACTTCTATAGGACTGTACCATCTACTATTACATATTTTTTTCCTTCTATTGTGCCCTGAATTCCTAACAACCTCTTCAAAAATGTCAGGAAACTACTACTTAAATTTCAGAGTTGTAAAACTCAATAATAGGGACTTGGTGGGGGGTAGAAAATAATACCCCAATTTATGCCACATTGTCATGATGACTACTTTGAACTGAAAAGGGACTCAGATGCAAGGTTTCTCTCACCTTTCTTGCCCTCCTGTAAACTACTCCTCTTTCTCTCCAGAAGTCAGTCAGAGAAACCAGGATTCCTCTTTCCCATGGCAGATCTGGGTCATAGAAACTAACCCCTCTCTCTCATAGCAAGCACATGCTCAGAAAAATTCTATTTTCTTCCTTAAAGACTCTCTAATTCCAGAAGGGTCTCATTCCATGGCTTTAAATACCACCTACATTTACTATGGTTAATTCCCATACCCAGAAGGAAGGAATCCTCCACAGAGAGTCCCAGAAAAATCTAGACAAACAGGCCTTACTGGGTTGCCCCCTTTCCCCTCCATCTAACACCATCTCAGCGTAACTTGTCTAATCATATTTCTAAGTGTCCATTCATTTATTTTTTTTATTTTTATTTTATTATTTTTTTTTGAGAGATTTTCACTGTAGGGCGCGTGCGCTCGCCAGACAGACAGAGACATAGAGACAGAAAGCAAGAAATCACCTCCCAGGGGGGATGGTCACGCCGCAATCCCTTCTCCTCCATTCTCCTCTCGGGATCTTGGGCACGCATGCACACGCGCCCAGCGTGAGTTTTAAGCCACCGGGTCCGGGACACGAACCGCGGTTGACTACGTGGGAGTCCAGCGACATAGCCATTGCGCTAACTGCTGGTTCCCATGTGTCCATTCATTTATAATCAAGCATAAAAACAGACAGGCTTTGGGACCAACAGTTAGCATAATGGCTATGTCACTGAACTCCCATGTAGTCAACCGCGGTTCAAGTCCCGGACCCGATGACTTATACTCACGCCGGGTGCGTGTGCGTGCATGCCCAAGATCCCGAGAGGAGAATGGAGAAGAAGGGATTGTGGCGTGGCCATCCCCCCTGGGGGGGTG